TAAGTGTTAATCTTGTTAAATTTAGAAGAAATCCAACAGCAAGTCCTCCCGTGAAAACTCGCTTCACTCAGCTGGTGTAGGCAGAGGAACGCTGGAGAGCTAGCAGATCCAACCGCGATGGATGGATGGCGCCGCCCAGATGAAATGAAGCTGTTTTGACCATTAAATAAATGCATAATAAACACGATGGGTCAGCGGTGATGCATAATAAATGCGACTTATACGCCAAAGTGACTTATGTTTTTACCTCTTTGTGATGCTTTTTTTTTTTACTGATGCTACTTATACATACGCCAGAAAATACGGTATGTAGACTGGTTATTATGACCTTTAGCTAGGCCTGTTGCAATAAACAAGAAATTAATTAATCGCATGATGAACGAAAATTATCAACCTCATTTTCATTTATCGGCTTTATTGTTTCTTCGTGTCTCTCTCTTTCTACTGAAGACACTAGATGACAAAAGGCTCAACTCCAGTACTTTTCAATGACCCCTCCCTTTCTCTTTTCTCTTTAAAATCTGTTTTAACCGTCCAAAATTACATTTTTGGATCATTAAAAGCAGCTAAGCTAAGCTACGAGCTAAGCTAACAGGCTGACCTCGGGGAACAAAAAAAACCTCCATCTTGTCGAAGCTCCATAATTCATGGTTGAAACCCGTGCCTTTGTGTAAAAAGTTTTTCTTTGCAAAAAGAAGCTGAGAACTTGTTTACTGATTTTTTTTTTTTTTTTTTTTTTTTTGTTTTGGTATGGTATAAAGTTTATAAAGTTTATTCATTTTAAAAAATACAAAACAATTTCATAACAATATAAAAAAATATACAAGAGATTTAAAATGAAAGGCAGCAGAAAAAGAAAAAAAAATCTTATTATATCTGTCCCTTTTTTCACACAATTAGTTCAATCACAATAATTTTCAAGAGTTCAATCACAATAATTTTCAATGGTTGCAGCTTGTTAAAAGCTTTGTGTGAAAAATTCTATGCTAAAGAGCTCAAACTACACAGAGTGTCCGCCATTTTGAGAACCGAAGAAAGGAAGGAGAGCCCATGTCACATCAAGGGGTCCCCCCCCCCCCCATTTTTCTTAGAGACACGCTGCTTGCTCCCTTACTATCCATCCTTCGGTTCAGTCTTATACTGCCATCCGGTGGTCACAAAAGTACTAAACTCAAAACAAATTAACCAACATTTTTTTCTTAAATTTGACAATTATTAATTATTGTCAAATTACAAACAATTTTATCGTTTATCACAATATCGCCCAGCAAAATTTGTTATCGTGACAGGCCTACCTACCGCAGAGAGGCGAAGGCGGATGATAGTTTGTGTGACGTGGTTGCAGCTGAGACTGATCCCCAAAATATATTCTGAGTGCTAACACAGTGCACAAGAATCTTGGTCAAATCTTGCCAGTAATAATTTAGAGGCAAATTTGTCTTCTCTGTTAGCAAAATATCTCCTGACCCACTGGATAGATTTTATTAAAGCTTTCAGGAAATAATAACTTGATGTACATCTAGAACTGACTAACTCTGGGAGCCAACTCAAACCAAGATGGCTGACACAGCTAATTAACTTTGCTCAACACAAAATGGCTAAAACTTACAGAAATTAAAGTTTTGTGTTGTAGCTGAGAGTCTTCACATCTTCACTTAAAAAAGCATATATTTGAGTCAACCCTAAATATCTGTTAGCAAAATATCTCATAAACCACTTGATGGTTTGAGTCTGTTGTATTTTGCGGCTCCTTGTCCCTCTTCTTCGTCTTTCTTTCCTGCTTTTTTATATATGAATCCCAAAACTTGTTTAGCATACATCTTAGATTCTCGTTTCCTGTTTCTTTTTTTATAGTTTATATTGCTATTTTGGAATGTAACTGGGACCTTGAGTACACAATTTTGTTCCACGTCATGTACCACACGTGATGCGAATGTAAAGTCATCTTGAAAACAAAAATAATAAAAAGGAAGAGCTGGACTCAAACTAGCTGACAGTGTAAGTCTTTGAATCTCGCTAAAGTACAAAGTGGTAATTAAACTGTCTAAATAAACAGCTGAGGATAGATTCCAGTGTAATGAAAATTACTGATTTTATTGCCTAATCATATTTTTGCTTGGTAAATGCTAATTTAATAGTCAAAAGCTGTATTTAATATACCTTTGTATCAGTATAAATAGACGAGCGTCCATCCTTTGTTCCTTGATTTCTGAGGTTACTCTTCTGTTTTATCATGTTGCTAACAGAATTTAAAAGTGAACGTGTCGGGAGGTCACTGGACACATGCTTCAAGGCCAAATTTATTCAATTTGACAGGCTGCAAAACAGCAGAAGGCCTCATTTAGTTTTTACTGCAGATGGCACACAAAACATCCAAATTGTCCACTTTAATTCATGCATGGCAGCGGGGTGAATTTGTTACAATATACATCATCTAAACTCCACTATAGAGCATTATTTTAACAGCTGAACACAATGAGCCAGAACAGGATAAGCACTCATTGTTGACAGGAAAGACGTAAATAATTTTGCAGCAATTACACAGGTAAATTGCTGGGCTAAATGAGATAGTAAGGGAACAGTTCTCCTTGTCATCGTGTTGGAAAGTCTGAGAAATGGTTGCAGCTGAGGCCTGTGAGGAGCTGCGGTGGTGAGTGTGTACAGTGCAAACAGGGGTTAGAGGAGGGGCGACGCATAAGAAAACAGTGGGGCGCTGAGAGATGTGCTGGAGCAAGTCTGATCTCCTGCTGCTAACGTGCTGATGCCACATGAAGCATCAGAGTTCTCGTAGAGTCCATGCCTCTGCAATTCGAGCTGCTTTTGGCTGCATGCCATGTGGGATATTAGTCAGTGGGAGATCACAAGGGTTTGCCTCATCAGGGCAATTTTCCCGTTTAAAGTTAAGATACACACAGAAATCTGCCCCAGAGATATTTGCATGTGCAAATTTATTAATAATAATAAAAAAGCAGATTTATTTGACTTTGTTTAGAGGTTGGAGTGAGTTGAGTCTTTTTCTCTTAGCTGCAGCACACAGTCTAATTTGTACACATCATATGTAAAATATTGGTACCACTTTACAATAAGGCTCCCCTTATAGATGGCTAATAAATAGTTTATAGATACGTTATTAATTCCTCTATAAACACTTTATAAATCATTAATAACTGCTTATTATGCATTAATTAAGGGCGAGAAAGAGGCAAAACTGACCAGTCTCTTGCAAAATAGTGAGCCATATCTGTCGTCTATATATTTAATCTAGAGTTATTATATTAAACATTTCAGACCAAGTTACTACCTTGTTAGTGCAATAAGCATTTGTAAACCGATTTTTTAGCATATGTACATATTGCACTTTATTACTGCATTATAAGTATCTATAGTTGTAGATATAACGTTTTGTCTTGTTCTTGCCCTTAATTAATGCATAATAAGCAGTTATTAATGACTTATAAAGTGTTTATAGATTAATTTATTTTTATAAATTATTTATTAGCATCTATAATGGGAGCCTTATTGTAAAGTGGTTCCAAAATATCTACTATATCTTTGTAAGACACAAGTTGATAGTATTAAAACGATATCCTCAGTAACCCAGATGTCATTTATTTCCAAATGTTGACTGAAAAACAAATATTTATATGCGTCGTTCCTTAAAATAAAAATCTGCAGAAGTGTCTCAAAGTGCACTCAGGTTCCAGACTTTTTTTTTTTTTTTAAGTTGTCGAGCATTTTTTTATCTTGACTAAGTCGGCACAATATTGGGAGAACATGCAATTGTAATAATAGTGTTGAATACTGAGAAGACGATATCAGTTGCAGTACACCCACACTTTCCTCAGTCGTCTCCTCTTCTATCATGATGCCTCTCGCCACACTCGCTTTGTGCTCTTCTCATTCCAGCCACTATCATCTCAGTCAGCTGTGGGCATTTAGAGCAGTGGGCTTCAATTTATTTTTGGCATGCAGTTTATGCCTGCAATACTGTACTGTATATTACAGTCATTTTCAAAAGTGATCTTACTGATATTGTAATGTCAATAAATATTGACTATTTTTTGCACACCCCCATCATTCATATATTTTCTTACAATTATGGTACTAATGGTTGGGTGGTGAAGGCAACAGGTCCAGGAAATCCAGACATCCCTCTACCCAGCAACACTCTCCAGTGCCTCCTGGAGGATCCTAATGTGTTCCCAGGCCACAGAGGACACATACATATGAGATTATAATAAGTCTCGACTCATAACGTCAAGTCAGCAGAGTTGCCTTTTATACAGGCTCTTCAGGTGTGCAGCACTCCGTGCACTTCTCCTTTTAATCAATAGGAGTCACTACCGGCAAAAAACTGCCATGTGGCTGTAATTCATTCATTCATTCATTCATTCATTCAACCTTTATTTATGCAGGTTAGTCTCATGGAGCTTTGAGGACTCATTTACAAGAGAGACCTGTTTTTAAACAAAGATTGAAGACAACAGTAGACAATCTTTAAAAAAATGACACATAAAAAGAGTTGTGCACAGGAAAGTATGTTTTTGATTGGAGTGGAAAAAAGAACAAAACTTGCACAACGGTTGTGTGGTGTCAGTTTTGGCGTGAGATGGCTTTTGTAAGACTGTGACAGATTTGGAGAAACCAGGCGTAATCTCTCCAGAAGGATCTGGGTCTGCAAGGTCTCTGCTCCGGTCAAGAAAACCCCCAGGAAACATCCAAATTAGACGCCCGAACCACCTTAGCTGACTCTTTTTGATACGGAGGAGCAGCAGCTCTCCTCCTGGATGTTGCTTTTCATTCAACAATTTCCTGCGGGATCAATAAAGTCTTATCTCATCTTGCTGAGCCTGGCCACCCTGCAGAGGAAGCTGCATTCGGCCCATTGTATCCATCCCCTCCTTTCAGTCATGATCTGCACCTCGTAACCAAAGACGGTGATTAGGACAGAGCAGTAAACTGAGAGCTTTAACTTCAACTCAACTCCTTTTTCACAACACCTTCACGTGGGCAAGGCCCTGATCCACCGCTCCGGTCCGGATAAACGCTGCCATCACTCGTAAACAAAGCTCCCAGGCGCTTGAACTCTTATGCTTGAGACAGAGACCCCCCACTCCCAAACGTGCTTTTCTAAATTAGTTGTGTGAATGTTTATGAAGCATTCACATTACTGTGATCCATTTTTCTTCTGTACGTTTTTCAGTGCGATTCTCGTCCCGCGGTTTTCAAGATATTTCAACAAATCGTATACAAAACGTTTAACCCTCTCAGAACAATCCTAAGACTTTTGGTATTGGTGCAACTTTAGCTTTTTGAAATATTTAGCCTTTTATGCCATTTTTTTCTCATAGAAAATGAATTGAGCTCATTTTACATCCTTCAGATCTTCATATCTGTTTACATCTTTTACTGCTCCTTTCACATTTTGTTCTGGTTCAGCTTCTTTCAGCTAATGTCAGCTGTTTTGTGCTCATATCAGATTCTTTCTGCTAACTACAACATTTTTGTTCATCTTCTAACTTCTTTCTGTTAGTTTCAGCCTATTATGTTCCTTTCAGCTTATTTTTGCAAGCTTCAGCGTTTTCTGCTATTTCAGCTACTATTTAGCTGTTTTATGCTAATTTTAGCTTTTCCAGATAATTCCACTTTTGGCACTCATTTAAACTTTTTCATCCTAATTCAGCAAAAATCTGCTCTCTTTGTGGTAATTTAAGCTTCTTTCTGAAATTTTTAGCTGCTTTTCAGCTGCTTTTTGCTCAAGAATTTTTTCAGATAATTTCTACTTTTTTGTGCGCTTTTCTGATTCTTTCAGCCTAATTGAGCAAACATGTGTTCTTTCTGCTTTCTTCTGCCAATTTATGCCCGTTCTACCTTTCCAGCTACCTTGTTAGCATTTTTAGCTAATTTCAGCTGTTTTCAGATAAATTCAAGTTTTTCGTGGTAATTTCTGCTACTTTCAGTGCAATTAACTGCTTTCTGCTCATTTCAGCTTGTTCTGATTCCTTCTGGTAATTTAAGCTTCTTTCTGCTTCTTTAGCTACTATTCAGCTGTTTTCTGCTAATTCTTCAGAAATAAGCATTCACTGCATTTTCGTAGGAATGCATTTTCTCTAGTTTCAGCTTGTTATGCTTGTTTTTCTGCTTTTTCTGCTATTTCAGCTAGCTGTTTTTATACTAATTTCAGCTTTTTCAGCTAATTACACTTTTTTAAGCTCATTTCAGCTCTTTCCTCTTCCTTCTGGTAGTTTAAACTTCCTTCTGCCTTTTCAGCTACTTTTTAGCTTTTGTGCTAATTTCAGTCTTTTTTATAGCTAATTTCCTAATTTGTGTGCTAATTTCTGCTAATTTGAACATAATTCAGCAAAAATGTGTTCTTTCTGTTTTCTTCTGCTAATTAAGACTTTTTCTTCCATTTCAGCACGTTTTTCAGCTAATTTCAGCTGTTGTCAGCAAGTTCTTCAGCCATAAACATTCACATTGCATTTTCACAGTAAATACAATTTCTCTATTATGTTATTCACAAAATGTGATTGTCGATCTCTGTGCTGAATTCTTGGAAAATGATTGAAAGTTTCTTAGGCCTGATTGAAAACATGTTTGAAGGGGGACCAGCTTGACTGACATCGAGCCGACAGACTGACAGGCTGTTTGAGCGCATCAAGCCGGTGAACTCTGAACACGGGCAGAAGGTTTTCATTCGTGACATTGATATTTTCGGTGAAATTATAGTGTCTGTGATCAGTCGCATACAGAGTACAAAACGTATAGTAAAATATGTTTCTGCAATCGTCTGGCATAGATTATATGGCACTGTCTGTTGAAGCATCAATATTTTAAATGCAGCCTGGTGGTTGTGTTTACCACCGGATGTTGTGAGATTCAGTCACTTACTTTGTGGCATTTCAATAGCGTTTTAGCAATGAAAAATGTATGAGCCAGAGATTAGTTTTGATATCATCAATGCCCTTATAGTGCAGAAACAATAAATCTACACAGCATCCTATTAAATGGACTAAACTGGCCTTTTTTCCCCCCATGAACTATTTTGACTTGAAAGTAAAGGTTGAACTGAAAAGATTAATAACTGTCTGCTGTATTATTCTAAACACCTGCACTTTTCTTTCTGGGGGGACACTTGTCAGTCATTTAGAATAATTTCTTCAGTACTCTGTGTCACATTAATCCTCCATGACTGACTTTTTTTTTTCAAAACTGAAATCATGCGGATGACGTTTCTCAAGGAACAATTAAATTGTCTTGCATTTAATTACTCTGCAACGAGATGGCAGCTGTAAGCCCGAATGAGCATGTTAGACGGTTGAGGGAGCAAACGTATGGTTTTTATGGTTTGTGCTGTGCCACCAGTGACAGAAAGTCGGAGTGGATGTCACCGAGTAGCAGAAAAGAGAAAATAAGAGACATTTAGGGAAAAGTTGTCCTGCAAAGGAAGATAAATTCATTGGTTTGTGCAACGCCTGTATGGTTTAGTCAGCCGCTGTCACAGTGGGGGGGAAAAAAAGAAGCTAAAATACAAATTATTTTTTGTGCTAAAAGATACTTTTTGTCCTTACTTGGAAAAAAAAAAAAAAAGACTCGTAATACTTTCAAGCTGCTGAAATTTACTAATTAACTTGGTGTAGATGAGACTTAATCTGAGCTGAGCTCCAGTTTTGGGACCCCAATATTAGAAGCATGTCTGCTTACACTTAGTAGGGTATAATAAAAAAAAAAAAATCTAGCATTTATATTTATTATTACTTAGGCTTGCAGTACTTTGCATTCTGTCTCTGTTGTGTTTAGGCGGCAGAGTTGATTTATGTGGCTAATTACGACTAACTGAAAGTGCAGCATTACCAAGACGTTTCGGACAGTGACACTGCACTCTTATGGGGTGCTGACTGTGCAATAAGGTCATGCAAACGATTGGACAGCTGCACTGTCCCCCTGGACTGCAGCTTTCCCTAATTTGCAGAGATGGAAGTATTCCGTTCATTGTGGAGAAAAAAATAGATCCAAGCTTTTGTTTTCTACGTGTGTTTTCCTGCTCTTTGATTAAAAAAAGTCTTATTATATATCTGTTACGGGCTCAGTGGTTCTCGTCGTTTCACGGCTCCGCTGCTTTTCATTAAGCATTTAATCAGGAGCAACGCGCACTTGGAGTAAATGCAATTAACCATCAGATTAGATTAAAAAACATTATTTTTTTTCTGAACCCCTAGTCTCCAATTGTATTTTTTTACATTAAATCTGTATTTTTGACATGCGTACTGTAAAGCAGGGGTGTCAAACCGTTACAAAAGGGGGTCAAAATTTAAAACATATCTCAAACAAAGGGCCAATTTCAGTCAACACGATAACTCCAGTCAGATACGTGTCATCTGTTTTGGTTGCAGGTTCCTCAACAAGAGTTTAAAGTTCTCTGTTGCTTTTTCTGCACCAAAATCAAAGATTACAGAAAAATTCACATTGGCCAACTGCCATGAGAAGCCTGCACTAAATAAAGTATGCTCAATTTTTTAAGTAAAATGAGAATCAATGAAATATTTTCCTTTTAAAATATAATATTGGGGGCCAGATAGGATGTTAGCAAGGGCCATTTTGGCCCTCGGGCCTTGAGTTTGGGTTTGAGTTTGTATATTTATTCTCAGCTGTGCCTTTTTTTCTGTGTGTAAAAAATGATTCAGCATTTGACCCTTTTTTTTTTTTTAAGAAAAGTGCAACTTTTAGACAGTAATTGGAGCCGAAATAAAGAAACTAAAAGTCGATGTGGATCTGTTTTATTTCAAGAAGCTAACTCAATTGGCATTTTTTAATCAATTTAATAGAGTGAAGAGTTCCTGAACAAGGCCTAATCACTTTCTCAACACTGACCTGAGGAAGAAACAGTTAATTGATTTCTTTGGAAGGTCCTGTGGGGCTCTGCAAGGCTTTCCACTAAGATTACGGGCAATCAGCCAGCTGGAATGCATATAAGCATGTGTGTGTGTGTTTGTAAATTTTCTTTTAGTGTTTGCAATTTTTGGTAAACTGGTGTTTACTGTTCACATTGGAATATGTAATCCTGAATTAGTCAAAAACTGCATCATGTCTTCATTAATCTGACAGTGAAAGAGTACCGGTAACTTGAACCCAAATAAATAGAAACTTGGGTCAAATGACAACAATCACGTAAAAATCAATTGAACAAGGACTGTCTAGAAATGTAAGATTTCTGTATAATCCATGTCTGCCTAGTTTTAACATTAATAACAACTAGATTCCTCCAGATAACCAAGCTAGCGATAGCTCGTTATCTTAAGTTATTTTTCCTCTCTCTCTCGATAAGATAATGGGTTGATTAAAACTGTTTCTTGTGTTACAACCAGTTTTTCATTTGGTACCTCTGCTGCGATGTTCTATAACCATAATACTTGGATCAGTGGTGGATGTTCCTTGACGGAAAAAAAATCCAAGTTTTCATTTGAATTGTTGTTTGTGTTTGTGTTTAAGATCACGGTTGGTTTCCCTTTTTGGTTCGTTTATTTTCTGGATCTTGTGATCTACCTTCTTGTGTTCATCTTTCCCTTCACTTGTGCCATTTTTCATCTGCCCTCGATTAGCTCTATTAGTATTTTTCCAGTCAGCCTGCCACGCGCACCTGTTCTCAGTCACCAATCAACTCAAGTGTTTTCACTTTCCCAAATTACTTGTGCCCTTCATATTCAGTCTCTTTTAATCTTCAGGTAAGCGGTTCATGTTTGGCTTTATGCTACTTTAATGTCTGTTTGTCTGGTCCCCTTGTGAGTGATTTGCCTTGTTGTTGTTTTTTTGTCTGTTTTATTGTGAGTTTAGTTTTGCTGCCACAACAGTGTGTTTTTTGGAGCTCCTTGTATTTAGTCTTTTATATTTGGTGTATGATCAATCCAAAAACCCAAGACAACTTAAATCAATCAAAAGCATTTATGTCCCGATTATGAAACATTTAATTTATGGAATCATCTCTAGTTATCCTGACAAACTGAGCTTTTCTATGTTGAGCTAACTAAATGTATTGTAAAGTTGAAAAAGCAAACTT